CAACACCCGTGGTGAGGGCTCATCGCTGGGTCCGAGACTCCAACACCTGTGGTGAGGGCTCATCGCTGGGTCCAAGACTCTTCCCCTCAGGTTTATCTTCACAATTCTTCATCTTGCAGCCTCGTCCCCAAGGCGTCTGCTGCGGTGGTGCCAACCTGCACCACCCACCCTCCTCGCGGCGCTCTGGGCCATTCTGAAAGCTCCTGGCAGTGCCCGTCTCATGGTGTGGCCTCCCAAGGACGCAATGAGCTCTGCAAGGTGGGGCTGTGGGCTCCCAGCTCTTTTGTTGAACTTAAGTTCTCACTCTGTCGTCCAGCCTGGAGAGCTGTGGCACAATCACAGCTCACTGCAGCCCCCAACTCCTAAGCCTCTGCCTCCACCTACCAAAATAGCTGGGATGACAGGCACGTGACTGATTGTTAATTTTGAAGCTGAGGCCACGGCAGGTACGGGGAACAGAGGACCAGCTGCACCCAGGCTGGACACAGCATATCTGCCTCAGAGGCCGTGCCTGGCACAGCGGCTGGGAGTGGGGCCAACTGCACCCCAGGACACACCACTGCAGCTTCCACAGGAAGCACGGTTCACGTGACCGAGGGGTGAGCATACCGTGTTGCAGAGTAAACTTGGGTGTTTCTGGAATGACAGATGCACCTCCCTGGAAGGCAGCGCCCACCAGCCTACCGGCTGCTCTCTCTGCGGGGTTCCTGCCCATGGTGACTCTTCCGGATCATTCACCAGGGAACCGGGGCTGCTCTGTCCCGTGGCCCAGGGTTGCCCCGAGGGACAGGGTTGGGCAAACAGCACAGGGTGAAAAAGAAGGCTGCCATGGTGGCCACAGCTGTACGTGACTCCCACCCCAGGCGGCCCTGGTGCTCGGCTCCTCTCGGGCTCCGTCTGTCAGCTGTGTGGTCCCAGGCTCAGAAGGGCAGGGGGTGTGCCCGGCTGCGTCCCACAGAAAAGACATCAGCAGTGATGGCGTCCACTCACTTTCCAGACAGGGCCACGTGTGTTTAAATGCAGAGGCTTCCAAACGGGGGATGGGGGTCATGTGTGTTTCAGTGCAGGGTTCTGAACAGGGAGCCACGTGTTTAAATGCAAAGGCTTCCAGATGAAGGCCACGTATGTTTAAAGGGAGACTGTTAGATGGGGTGGGGCACATGTGTTTAAACAGAGGCTTCCGGACGGGATGGGGCAGGGGCCACATGTGTTTAAATGCAGAGGCTGCCTGTGCTGTTTTGCCATCTGTCCTTTTTCTTCTCTAAAGAGGAAGTGTTGTGTGGGCTCTCTGAGATGTAGGTTCTCATAAAATAGACAGCATCTACCTGCCAGGCAAGTTCAGAGGTGGTTTTCTTCTCAGCCGTCCCACAGTGCCTTCACTCCCATTTTACAGATGCTGACGAGGCCCCCTGGGTGTGCACACCCTCGAGGGGCCCTGCCTTCACCAGGACTCCCGGAGGGTGGCTTCTGTCTGGGCGTGGCTCTCTGACCACCACCTCCATGTCCTGAGGACTCCAGCAGCCCATGGGGAGGCCCGTGCAGCCTGGAGGGGGCCTGGGAGGGTCCTGCCCATGAGGCCTCAGTGGAGGCGGAGACGGGCACACCTGACTGAGCTGAGCCTGAGGTCCGATCCACATTAATCCAAGCTGATAGAGGCAGGTTTTCAGCTACTGGTTTTGGGGTAACTTGCCCTGTAGCCCCACCTCCCTGCGGGACAGTGGCCGTCACCTCCTTCGTAAAAGGAGAGTAGGCTCAGGTGTCTCCAATTCGAAGCCCTGTGAGGCGGGCCAGTAAGATAAAGTCAGGTCCAGGCCTGGCTCCCGCAGCGCGCGGCACCGCCCAGTGTCGGAGGCTCCCTCGGGCCCGGGGGAGGGGGCTGCTCAGCTGGCATAGGTGGGGTAGCAACAGGGAGTCTTCGATGGCCTGGGGCACTGGAGCCTCTCAGCAGGGGACTGGGGAGCCTGGGCCAGAGGACAGGGGCCGAAAGACCGTCTCCCGCTGGCGTCACCCCTGCCCACCTCCCCAGCCCAGCCCCTCCAAGGAAGGAAGGTGGCCAGCACTGCTGCTGTCTCCAAAGTGCTCTGGCCTGCTGTGAAACAGGGCGGGCGGTGATCCTGGGGGCGGCCAGGTCCCGGGCAGGGAGGGGGACGAGGCGCTGCAGAGATGGTGGCTGGGGCAGTGTGGCATCAAGGAGCAGCCCTACTTCTGGAAGTCAAAGCCCATCTCCCCCACACGTGGACGCAGAAGCACTGCCAGGGCGGGCTCACCAGCTCCTTGCGTGCGCGGTGCAGCTCCGCCGTCACCTCGCTCATCTCCCGGGCGTGCCGCTGCCGCTGCTCTGCAAGGCGGCTTTGCAGGGATTTGCTCTCCAGAGCCGGGGAGCCGGCGTCTTCACCCACCATCGTGGAGCCATCCTGGGCTACGGTGAGTTCTTCAACAGAAGACAAAATGTGTCTTGCCTGAGCTAGGAGCGAAAATCAAATGTTACGTTAGCACTGAGGCTTAAAGGGGGAACATAAACAAAACCGGCTCAGTGTGTCTTGAATCACACAGAGGAAGCCTTAAAAAGACAGCAGGCAGGGAGGGGGCACCATCAAACCACCTCAGGCTCTGCGCGTCCACACAGGCAGGGTAGGAACTGAAGAAAGAGAACAGGTGACCCCCAAAAAGAGGCTGCAACGGGCCGCCACGTCTCAAGGTTTCAATGGCACCGGCGCAACTCACTATGCCTTCCACAAGCACCGACTGCCCTGGTGTGGAAACCACCACACAGACAACAGCCGGCAACTCCACACTGGGACAGCGGCCTGAGCCAGGGACAGTGCCACTGCCACCCACCACGGCAAGCTCAGGAGGCTCCCGCAGGACACCAGCCCAGGGAGAGGTGAGGTCTGGGGGCTGGGGTCTGGATGGGCTGCACGGACACCAGCGGAGAGATAGGGGAGGGGTCTACAGGGCTGGGGTCCAGGTGGGCTGCAACTGCAGGGCATCCTCTTTCTAGGATCTGAGGGGCCACAACACTTCGAGAGGCGCTCAGACAGCTCAGAGCCACACCCAGGGCCTGCCGGGAGGAACAGGCTCGTGAGGCCCGGCTCCTGAGGGACACACACAGCCACATCCCAGGCTGCAGGACAAAAAGAAGGTGCCACCAGGGACACGGCACCTCCTGGTCTCCAAGTGTGACCCCAGATGAGGGAGACCCCCGCGTGCTCCCACACAGGTCACCCGGAAGAATCAAACAGACCTGAGTCCTGTCTGCGGAGAGACCGCCCTCCTGGGCCCCACGCCAGGCAGAAGCTCAGCAAGGCAGGCCCAGCACAGGCTACATGCATGGGTCAGGGACAGACGCAGCAGCTTCCAAACTCCAAACCCCACATGGCCACCACCATCAGAACCAAACGCATTTGGACAGCATTTTGAGCAAAACAAGGTGACAGGCCCCCCAACACCCAGAACACGTGGGAAACCCACAGGCCCAGGCCCACGTGGTGCCAAGAGCCATGGTGACTATGAGAGGCAGACTGCCAGGAAGGCCCCGGTGCAGGACCACCACACGCACGTGGGAAGGGCTAGGATGATTCCCAGGTCACCACATGCAGAGGACCCAGGATCCCACACAGATGTCGCCTGGAGGGCGAGAGCCCGCAGCCACCCTGACTCACCAAGGAATGCCTCGTTGCTATGCAGAGACCTGCAGCCACCCCAGCTCCTGTCCACCAGGTCCACGAGCGTCTCCAGGAGCGCCGCCTGCAGGCCCGTCTTCTTCCCGGGTGGAGCTGAGTGGGACCTGGGAGATGGCTGTGTTGGAAACAAAATCATGAGCCCCATGAGTCGGTGTGGGAACTGAGGTCCTGAGGCCAGTAGGTGCCCCAAGAGCACCTTGCGACGTGCTCCTACCACAGAGGGGAAGTGAAGGCAGGGCCAGGGGGCCCCAGCCCTGAGCCAGGCGGAGGGCAGTTCAGCCAGGTGCGTCCGTCCTGGGTGAGTGAGGTCTGGATGACTGACAGGACCTGCGTGAGTGAGGTCCGGATGACTGACAGGTCCTGGGTGAGTGAGGTCCGGATGGCTGACAGGTCCTGAGTGAGTGAGGTCCGGATGGCTGACAGGTCCTGGGTGAGTGAGGTCCGGACGACTGACTGACAGGACCTGGGTGAGTGAGGTCTGGATGACAGCACAGGACCTGGGTGAGTGAGGTCTGGATGACTGACAGGACCTGGGTGAGTGAGGTCTGG